TGACTATATGATAATTCAGTGTTAAAAAAAATCAATTAAGAAAGACAAAATAGTTGTACCGTATAATACTTTAGAACATAAGATAAAAACGAGCAAACATCAAAAAGATTTTAAAACAAATAATTATGCTAAAATTAATTGGGTCATATAATAAAGTTAAATAATTTTGTCCGGGAGAAAGTTTTGTAAAACTTGTCCGTCTTACCGGATTATGAAGATAAGAAAATCTGGATGTGGAAGGTATATCTTAATCACTATAGGAGGTCTCTGATTATCGGTGTGTTATCTGGTTTTCTATGTCAAAGGTTCTACATAAGTTCCGAAAAGATGCAATGTTGGCGTGATGTCCCTTGGTTTCTTTTTGTTCAATCTCTGTTTTAGTTTTGTCTTGAGATTTAGCTTCAATTTTATCTACTTCCGGTTATTGAGTTTCCGTTAATATAATATACTCCCCATGTTTGGGCTTCTCTTTGAAATCTCGCTTTGTAATCTCATTTAAGGGTAGTATCAACTAGTAAAAATCCACGTGTTGCGCGGAGCAACTATTTAGAGGAAAGTCGGCTTTTTCATACCCAAAGTATGGGCATATGTTCAATACATACTTGTACTTTGATAGTGTACTAAAACATACCCGAAGTAAATAATAATTTGAATTCCCTTTCCGAACTTTTAATTTTGTGCATAATTATACCTTATCACTAACAGAGTTAACTATGTGTTAACTCGTGATTACGTGGCATTAAACATTGATTACGTGGTAGACACATGTGCGTTTTAGGCAAACATTGATTAGTTGTTTTGTCTGTCTTCTTCAACCTCTCGACACAGAGAAAAACAAAATTAGGGCTTCTGAAAATTAGGGGCAAGAGAACCCAATGTCTTCTTCAGCTAATTCATGTTTGTAATTGAATTGTCAATCAATTTCTGTGGAATTTGTCTCTGCAAACAACTAATTGTATGCTTATCTCTTACTTTTTGCGAATTTACATCCGATGGAAGGAGTCATTGATAGCTCT